ACAAATGACCTTAGACCAGTTTACGCGACAGCCATCAAGAAATGTAACATCTCCTCAGAAGTCTCTTCTGATATCCATACCATTGTCACAAAGAACCCTCTGGATTTCACAGCCGTGGAATTTGTGACAGTTAAAAATGAGTCAGAAATTTCAAAGCCTTGAAAATGTTAGTTTTTACTGTATTATGTTATACAAACTGTAATGATTTTGCTGGGTATCTGTAGTTCTTCTCCTTGCCTTGCATAGACATTTTAACTGGTTCTACAACATACTATACTGGTTGTAATATCCAGTATGATTAATTGATTTAATATTGCCTTCAGGCTCAGACCTAAGAACAATCTTTCTTCAAGCCCATTCTAGCATTCTTTCTGTGGGAAAACCAGAGGACTTAAATCACTTAGGCATGAGGGTCAGAGTGCAAGAGCAGACAGAGGGGAGTCAGAAAGCCAGCCGACCCTGAGGAGTTTTGGGTTAGAGAAAGGCCAGGGGAGGAGAGAAGTAACCAGCTAAGATGCAACTAGGCATGCTCTTCATTTTAACACAGGACTGACTCCGTAAATTCTTGCAGAAACATTTCTAGTTTGGTAGAGTCCAAATTTAAAAAAAAAGAAGAAGAAGAAAAGAATGTACTGCTTTTACATGTGAGATAATAATAGTTGTAATCTTTCCTGGCTTATGCACACCTGCATTATTATGGCTTTCTATCCCACAAAAAAGAGTGAGTAGGAAATGGCTCACCACAAAAAATCCTGAAATGAAACCTGATATTGTGATTTTTATTGACCTCTTCAATGTGCGGGAAACTTTTTTCAAGTGTCACTTAGTCTGGAAGGTATTAACTTCCTGCCAAACTCTAGATGATCTATAGAACCCTCCCAAGCGCCCCAAAGTGGGGAGCGTTTCCAGGTAGAAAGCAGCTGCTTCAGGCATTTTCCTAAGTCTGTCAAGGTGCCCGCGCTTCCTCAGCTGCCAGTCTCAGACAAACCTGGAGTTTCATAAATTAGGAACAGCAGCTGTTAGGGCTATAAAAATCCAGTACATGAATGTTTGTGCTGACTAAGTCCAGAGACATCACAATAAAGAGACACTGCGGAGGTTCTGAAGCTAGACTGAACCAAGAAGCAGCTGATTCCATTTGGGCCAGTATGGGAGCTGAGGAATGAGGACAAGGCCCACTGAATGACGAGAACTGAGAGAAAATTGGAGACTGATATCTTTCTTTAAATTACAACCCACAATCAGTCAATGAAAGCCCCATGATCAGAACACTCTGATCAAGTGTCACATGGTGTGCCAAGTGCAATCGATCGGAAATGGATGCCTGAAGCACTGGACTGAGAGCCATCAAAGTTCAAATCTAGACTTAGAAAACTGTGATCCGAGGGAGCTCTGGTGGCCTAGTGGCAAGAAGTTGCACTGAAATTCCCGAAGTATGAGGTTCAAATCCACCAGATGCTCTGCTGGCAAAGAAGGGGCAATCTCCTCCTGTACCAGCCAGATCCGATTTGGCGGTACACACAAAATAATAAAGTAAAAATTAAAAAAAAAAAAAAGAAAAAGAAAACTGTGATCCTATTGGACCTAAGGGGTGGGGTTGGAGGTGATGAGCAGTCAGGGTGCCAAAACTTAGAACTTAAAAAGCAAAAGCAAACTAGTTGCTAGCCTGTTGGGGTCTTTACCATTTGTAAGTTTTCAGGCTGTGACCTTTGGGGAGAATGAGGCTCCTCTGAGTGAGTTTGAATCTTTCAGTTAGTTCTCAAGTGCTCAACCTTTCCATGATTTCATTATTCTCCGCTTTGAATTCCTTGTTTATACCATGTGTTTTTAGTAACAGACATCATACTGGATTAATGAACATTTTATAAATTCAAATATAAAAGATGGATGTTTTATTTCATATTAGGTGAGAGATATATGTTCTGCTGGGCTTTGTACCACCTTCTAGTGCCCTGGACAACTTAGGAGGCCTCACAAGAACAACAACAAGATTACATGTATGTGACCATAGAATCATCCAAGGAAAGATAACTTACAAATAATGTAGAAACCTGGAAATTTACTTAGAAGATTTATCTCCCAGTTTAAAAAAACCAAAACTTTCTAGATTTCTAAAATCATATGACAAGGATATATCACCTCATACAATACCCTGTAAAAACAGCAATATGGCACTTGTCCATGTCTTCCTTTTAAAAGTACCGGCTCCCTCCTGACAGAGGCAGGTACTGTCAGCAGAAAAGCAGCTAGTTACCCAATAAATGCTTTAAAGGAAAATGTAGGTGAGAAATTTCTATAGACCATAAAAGGGTTAATGAATTGCACCATCCAGGGAATTCCAGGATAAACCAATGTGAGCCTCAACCTATGTAAATGATACAGGGTTCATTGCAAACATGTCTAGTCATTTTCCGTGAATCTCTCTGTTGTCACTATAAAGCTCTAGGTTGAAAGTCACCCTCCTTAAGGCATTGTTTATGATAGTTAATATAGACAATGTTGTTGTACCATTCAGTGAAACCGACTTATAGCTGACCCTTAATCAGATTTTCCAGGGAGTAATTCACATTAGAGGAGATTGGTCATTTTTCTCTTGCTGAGTAGCTGGTGAATTTTGTCCACATTTCATCTCTTTTACTTCAGCATTTCTCCACCTTGTTTTGGCTTGGTGACTATCTAGTGCGATATTCAGAATCTCTTCTTGTATTCCTTTTGGTTTTTTTTCTTCCTCCTCTGTATTTCTAATGACATTTTGCTTTCTTCGTTGATGGTATCTTTGATGTCATCCCACAACTTATCTGGTCTTCGCTCATTAGTGTTCAATGTCTCAAACCTATTCTGGAGATGATTTTTCGATTCAAATGGATAGATTCAAAGTTGTATTTTGGTTCTTGTGGACTTGTTTACAATTTTCTCAGCTTTAGTTTGAACTTGCCCTTGAGTATTGAGCTTCTTCAAGAGTTCTTTCTACAGATGGAGTAGATCTGATTTCTATGCAGTCCATCTGACGAGGCCCATGTGTAAAGACATTTTTTTTGGTATTTTTTGAAATAAGGAATTTATAATTAATATATCCTTGAACATACAAAATTCCATTTTTTTACATTCAGCCTCATTTTTTTTTCACCAAGATTGTACTTTCTGCTATTCTTTCATTGTTATTTCCAACTTTTACATTCTAGTCACCAGTAATTATTAAAGCATCTTGAAATCAAATCACTTGCGCCCCGTTTGGTAAATACTAATATGTCATCATACGGAAACTAAGATCAAAGTTGAAGGCCACACACAGTAGGTTGCAGAAACATAGTAGGAGCTCCAGTGACCCTGTGAAGCAGGCACTCTGTATATGGCCATGCACAAAGGGAGAAAGCACTAGTGAGCTGGTACAGACGCGACCAGATCACAGAGCTGGGCCTGAACCACAGTCAGGCCATCTGAAGCCCTCTTCACCAGAAACCTGGCTTCAAAGGCTAAGCCTCCGACTGCTGTCCTTCACCAGGGGTTGTGAGTTGTCCTTGAGCCATTTCAGGATGACCCCATGCTCAATGGAAGAAGTGCTCCCTAGACCTGAGCCAACCCATGATCAAGCTATCAGATCACTGTGATCCATATGGTTTTCATTGACTGACTTTCAGAAGTAGGACAAGCAGGCAGTTCTTTCTCATCCACCTTAGTCTGGGAGCTCTGTCAAAATCTTTTTTTTTTTTTTAATTTTTTATTAAGTTTTGTGTGCGTGTACCGTCAAATCAGATCTGACTGGTACAGGAGGAGATTGCCCCTCGTTCCCCGGCAGAGCATCTGGTGGATTCGAACCGTGCACCTCTGGGATTGTAGTTGCAGCTTCTTGCCACTAGGCCACCAGAGCTCCCCCTGTCAAAATCTTTTGAGTGTCACAGCATCACACAAACCTCCACTGAAAAGTGCAGCTATATATCAAGTGCATTGGCCAGGAATCAGATCCAGGTCTTCTTCATGGAAGGCAAGAATTCTACCTCTGAGCCACCACAGTCTTAGCAGGTAGGGCTAACAACTGTTTTTATTTTTCTGTTAACCTTTTCCTTACTATTAGTGCTTAACAAGTTTGAGGAAATTGCATTTTTGTAATATATATATAATTTTCGAATTCCACATAACTCAAAAGGCTACATGGAAAATAATAAGTGAACTCTCCGACTTCACTTCTGAAATCACTTGTGCCCCCTTATGCTTCAGAGGAGATGAGATGTGCTCAGACCGTGGCCACGTTCCCAGGAGAAAACAAAACAAGATTTCTTAGAAGTTTCTGGCTTAGTATCCTGGATTACCTGCTACAAGACATCACAGTGGATTTCGAAGATGTGTGACTCATTTTTTTCAGCTCTGTGAATTATGTCCAGCACAGACTGCTGCCTTCACACCACCCACACACAAGGCAGTGCTAGGATGAGGGAGTGTTGTGTGAAGATCTCACATAAATGTGAATCTGAGAGCTTGCCAAAGACAAGCACAAGTGGCTTTGGATTAACCATGCTTTAGTTTCCTTTCTATCTCTTCTCTATCTCTGTTCATGAGGCTAATAAAGAATTTGGATATGAGTACATTTGCTCACATATTAATAGACATTTCGGGTGTTTCTGGTGATGTAAACTGTAGGGAACTGTGCTACTAACCAAAAGGTCATCCATCTCTGGTATAGTTCAAATCCATCAGTTGCTCCATGGGAGAAAGACAGTCTCCTCTCTTGCTATTTACAGCCTCCAAAACTTCACTGGAGGGTCAGCTATGGGATGGTTCCAACTCAACAGCAAATAGTTTCATTTTCTTCACATCGCTTTTACTGTCTATTTCTAGGGCTAATAAGGATTTGTGGTTTAGGTACATTCATTTGCATATTCATTATTCTGTAAAATTACTTCTCAGTGGCAAATGAAACACATGATGTTGCCTATGGAAGCAAATCACAAAGAATCCAATGAGAAAACAATGCACTACAAAAAGCATCTGTTTAAGAGCAATACCTTGATGTGAAAGTTAGACTTCAAATTTGATCTGCTGATAAAATCATACTCAGGTATTCCCCAGCCAATTTCACCAACGTAGTTGTGTTTGTATTTCGCTGGCAGACTTAGGTGTGGGGCAGGCCTCCATAAATATTTAAGATCTCCAGTTTTTTCTGCTATTGGTCGCTTTTCTCCAATGTAGCAAGGGTCCTCATGAAGTTTAGGTAGATGATCCTTTATATAATCTGGGCCTTAGAAAGAGAAAAAAAAAATTATTTCTCCTTTTGTACTTAGTGCTATCAAACAAAATATACATGAAAGGTTGAATGGAAAATCAATTTGCTTTATAATCTTTCACTCTCAAATCACAATAAAAACCAAAACAAAACAAACAAGTGACAAAAGAAATAAAATCCTCCACACTATCCTAAAACGTAGGGCGTTCTGGTGGCATGGGCCTTGTGAAATTGGACTTTTAACCCAAACACTGCTCTTCTCTGGTGCTTTGAATTCATTAGTGGCTCCTCTGCTGTTACAAGGTACCTCTGAGTCACAGTGTCCCTATGAAAAATAGCTTCCAAAATCCAGTATCAAGGTCACTGTGATTCTGAAATCAACTCAGTGATAGTGGTACTGTATTCTAGAACCCCCAGAGTGGCTATTGTTATTAAATCTACTACAACTTATAGCAACCCCAAGAACAACAGATCTAAACCTTGTCCTATCTTGTGCCATTCTCATGGGTTCTGTCTGCCAAGCCCACTGTGGTAATCACTGTGCCAACCTATCTTGTTGAGGTTCTTCCTCTCTTTCTCTAACTCTCTTTCTTGGCCTGATGTCTTTTTCCAAAGACTGGCCCCTCCTGCTATCATGCCAGAAGTTGTTGTTGTTGTTGTTGATTACCATTGAGTAAAGTATGACTTATAGAAACCCTATGAACAAAAGATCTGATCTTAGTCCTGTCTTGTGCCATCCTCACACTTCCTGAAACACAAGAGCCAATTGCAGCAGTTACTGTGTCAATCCACCTACTTGAGGGTCTTCCTCTCCTTTGCCAACCTTCCACCTTTCCCAACATCATATCCTTCTCCCACCTCCAAAGTATGTGAGATGAAGCCTCATCATTCTTGCCTCCAAAGAGCACTCCTGCTACACCCTCCAAGACATATCTATTGGTTCTTTTGGCTATCCATGGGATGGTCAGTGCTCTTCTCCAACACCACAGCTCAAAAACGTCAATTCTTTTTCTGTCATGCCTCTTCATTGTCCAAGTATTAGATGCATAGCTAGTAATTAGAAAGATTATGGCCTGAATCAGATGCATCTTTGTCCTCAAAATGACATCACTACTTCTCAATAATATGGAAAGTTCCCTAACTGTAGATTTTTTCAGTACAATGTGTTTTCTTATTTCCTAACTGCTGGTACTAAAGGTGTTAATTGTGGATCCAAGCAAGATAAAGTTGTTGACAGTTTCAATCTCCTCTCCATCCATCATGACACTGCCTATTGGTCTAGTGGTAAGAATCTTTATTTTCTTGTTATTGAGGTGCAATCCATAATGAAGGCTGCATTCCTTGATCTTCTGCAATAAGTATTACAAGTCCTCCTTACTTTCAGCAAGCAAGGTTGTGTCATCTCTGCGTAACACAGGTTATTGATGAGTCTCCCTCCAATCCTGATACCACATTCCTTTTCATAGAAGACTATAGCTTCAGGATAATTTGCTCAGCATATAGATTGAACAGGTATGCAGAGATAATACAATCCTGACACTCCCTTCCAAATTCCAAACCATGCACTGCTCCCCTGCTCTGCAAAACAGTCTCCTGATACAGCTATAGGTTCCTCATGAGTATAATAAAGTGCTCTGGGACTCCCATTATTCTCTATGTCATCCCCAACTTGTCATGATCCACACAGTCAAATGCCTTTGCATAGTCAAGAAAGCACAAATAGATATTCTTCTGGTATTTCTTACTTTAAGCCAGGATTCATCTGACATCAGCAAGGATACCTCTGGTTCCATGGTTTCTTCTAAATTCCACTTGAACTTCTGGAAATTTCCTATCTATGTACTATTCCAGCCATTTTTGAATGATCTTGAGCTGTATTTTGCTTGTGTATGATATCAATGATATTCGATAATTTCCATATTCAGTTGTATCACCCTTCTTGGGAATAGGAACAAATATGGACTTCTTCCAATCTGTTAGATAGACAGGCATCATCCAAATTTTCTGCCATAGACTGGTGAATACATCCAAGACTGCATCGGTTAATTGAAACAAGTCAATTGGTATCTCATCGATTCCTAGGACCTTATTTTTCTGTCCATGCCTTCAATGCAACTTCCACTTCCTCTTTCTTTACCATTGGTTTCTATTCATATAATCCTTCCTGAAGTTTTTCAGTGTCAATCAATTCTTTCTGGTACAATGACTCTGTGTATTTCCTCCATCTTCTTTTGATGCTTTCTGGGTCATTCAATATATAGCCCATAGCATGTTTAAACCTTGTGACAGGAGGCTTAAATTTGCTTTTCAGTTCTTTCAGCTTGAGGAATGCAGAGTGAGTTCTTCCCTTTTTATTCTCCAATTCCAGCTCTCTGCACATTCCATTATAATGCTTTGCTTTGTCTTTCTGAGCTGCCCTTTGAAATTGTGTGCTCAGCTCGTTCACTTCAACATGTTTTCTTTTAGATTTGGCTTCTCAATATTCCAGTGTAATCTTTAGTCTCTTCTGACATCATTTTGATTTTTTCTTTCTCCTCTGTTTTAGTAATGACCTTTTACTTTCTTCATGGATGATATCCTTGATATCATCCCACAACTCATCTTTTGTGGGCAAACAGGATCAGGTGGGCAGGCCTTTGTATTTAAAAGTAGGTTTGGTCCTACCTGTGAGTGAGCCTTTAGCTTGGTGAAGTAGGATCCTGGTGGTGTTTGTGATTTACTTGAAAGCAGGGGGTAAACTTTTTGGGTGTGTCTAATTGTGTTAGCAATCAAGTGTAAGTGAATTAACTGTATCTGATCTCATTTACAATCAGCTTGGGTGGGAGGCTCTTGTATGGGCAAACAAAATCTGGTGGGTAGGACTTTGTATTTAAAAGTCCTTAGGGTAATACTACATGATTTAAAATTAAGAAAGATGTATGTAAGGGCTGTGTCCTCTTTCTATACCTATTCACTCTGTATGCAGACTAAATTACTCAAGAAGGTGAATTGTACAAAGAAGAATGTAACACTAGAATCAAAGAGAGGTTCACTAACAATCTGTGATATGCAGGTGATATCTTTGCTTGCTAAAAGCAAGAAAGACTGGAGACACCTATGCAGAAGGTCAAAGACTGTAGTCTTCAATATGGATTACAACTTGACACCATGGAAAAAAATATCCTCACAGTGGAGCTGTACACAACACCATGATAGATGGTGAGAAAACGGAAATGGTTAACAATTTCATCTTGGTAAGATTCATAAACAATACTCTTGGTAACAATAGTTAAGAAATCAGAAAATGTGTTACTTGGGGAAGTCTGTGGTCAGAGATCTCTCCAAGGGCAATGAAGAGCAATGCTATCCATCTGAGGACTAAGGTGGGTTTGATTTAAGCCGCGGACTTCTCAATTGCTTCCTATCCATCAGAAACTTATCCATTGACTAGGGATGACAGTAGAATTGATGACTCTGAGGTATGGTGTTGGAGAAGAGTACTAAATATTCCATAAAAATTTAAAAAAAGTATAAGAACATATAAAAAATAAAAAACATATCCTGCAGAGAGTTCAACCAAGGTGCTCCTAAGAAGGAAGGATAGTGAATTTCTCTCACATACTTTGGGCACGTTACTAGGAAAGGACAACTCCTGGAGAATAATACCATGCTTGGAAGGGTGGAGGGTGAGAGGAAGACCCTTAAAATGGATTATCACAGTGGCTAGAGCAATGGACTCAAGTAAAGCAGGGATGGTGAGGATGATACGAGTTAGGGCAGGAGAAAAGTCTGCTGTTCATAAGGTCACGATGAGTTGTAAGTAATTTGACAGCATCTAACAACAACATCAAGATGTTGTCTATAGGTCCTTTGGTGAGGGGTTTTATTTTTTGATGTTGAGGTGTAATACATATTGGAAGCTATAGTCTTTGATCTTCTGCAGTAAATGCTTCAAGTCATCCTCACTTTCAACAAGTAAGGTTGTGTCATCTGCATAAAGTAAGTTGTTGATGAATCTTCCTCCAATCCTGATGCCACATTCTTCTTCATATAGTCTAGTTTCTCAAATTATTTGCTCAGCATACAGTAGACAATAACTATTGAAAACCTTATGGAGTACAATTCTATTCTGAAAAAAAGGGATCACCACAAATCAGGATTGGCTTCAAGACAACTGGTTTAGTGTTTGTTTATGCTTTATGTTGTTTTTTTATTGAGTTATATATGATGTCGCTGAGAGATTGACTCAGTGCCTGCAATAATGTGCTTGTGCACAGCAGCAATTGAGACGATGGTACAGGATAAGGTAGAGTTTTATTCTGTTATCCTTGGGGTCCTTTTGAATCAGAGCTGACTGGCAGCATCTAACAACAGGTGCTATTGTGAACATTTTCTATTAACCCAATTAATCCTTACAGAAACCAACTGCTTTTGAATTGATCCCAACTCATGGTGATCCTCCATCAGATTTCAGAAGATGCAAATTTTTTATGCAAGGAAACATTTCATCTCTGTTTCAGAGAGCAGCTGATGGGTTTCAACCATTGACCCTTTGGTTAACAGTGAAACATAATATAGACTACAATACCAGAATTCCTTCTAAAGTTAGTTTTCACTTGCACATATAATATAATCAAATGAGACAAGTAGTATTACATTGCCCCACTTACATGTTGAGAAAACGAAGCACAAAATTATTGCTTACTTGTTGAGAGCCTAACAAAGTCTCCACAGCCAGATGACCTGCCTCAGAGTTTGACCTCATAGTTGCCACACTGAACTACTTTGTTTATCATCACTTTATTTTAAAGGGGTTGTAGACACTGAAAATCCTCTCTCATGCCACATTGGCAGGATACAAGGCTTCAGGCAATGCAATATTTTATCTAGATAAGTAACATTGGGAAACTCCCAGGATGTATTAGAAGTCATTGCAAGGTGGTAAAGACATTAGAAGAGAGCAAATTTTAAAACAGACCTTAAAATAGACCATAACTAAATAGTCAGTATGTAAGAAATATTGCTATTTTAAATAT